AGTAATTGAACTGCAGTCAGAGAGAATATTGTTAAGCACGTGAGAAGTTCCTTGAGAATTATAGCACGACTGTTGAAATTAAGTGTATCGCAAAGTTATATTCAGAAAGAATAAACCAGTTTTATGTAAGAAAGGACTTGTGTCGCTAAAGTTTCATCGGAACGAAGTTATGGAAAATTAACTAACGAACGGAGACGTAACAGTATATATATATATACAGTGGTAACTATACTGAACCACATGCTCATAAATGTAACTTTAGGATCCAATTTCTCATTCTAAGCTTCTTGGTGGTAGAAACTGTAGGGGGAAAATTTTTTAATATTTTAAAATTACATTTTAACTTTAAGAACATTTAAGAATTGTCATAGGTAGGACATTGGTAAATACATTATAGAAAGTATTAATTATTTGTATCATTTATTTTTATGCTTATACTTAATAACACTTCTCTACTCTCAGAAGACAACTTCATAAAAATGTGACCTATTCACAAATACTTGTGTTACTTGGGATTCCCTTAACTTGTTGATATTAGAACACTTAGAGACTAATTTAACAAAATATTCTTTTTTCAAAATCCAATTTAAAATATATAGGTCCCTGATAAAAATGCTGAATGCAGAGAACTGTTGAAGTTGTTTCCTGATCGCATTGGTCATGGTACATTTCTACATTCAAGTAAAGGAGCCACAAATGATGTGTTCAGTATTGTTTGTGTCAATCAAGTTCCTTTAGGTAAATATTATTTTATTTAAAATAAATGGTGTGGTTCCATAAAAAAAAAGTATTTGAAGATGGGATCAGTGTAATTATTGTTTTTATATTTGTGGGACTTTTAATTAGTGTTAGAATATTTTAGTTATTTGTGTTTGATGTGGACAATGTAGATAGGTCTGAACAATAAAATTAGTGGAATGATATTCAGCGTAAGAAGATTCAGTCAGTGAAATAAAGATTTCAGACTGTGATGTAGTGTCTTTGATCTTATGGAGCTGCTTTTAGTATGTGGGTGTGTAAATTTTCCTAAATTTAAGTCATGTAAAATGTGTTTTGTTGTTGTTAAACAATCACCAATATCTCAGTTTTGCTACATTCATCCTGGAGTCATCATTAAACATGCACCCACTTGACTGACTTGTCACTAACCCAGCCAAGGAATCATTGGCTATAACATCACTTTGTTAAACATTTGCAAAGTAATTTTCCACTATCTTGAAGAAAAAGGTTTTATGAGAGCCATCATGTTAATTCCTTAGTGTGTCCATGCTCATCCTTTTTAGTGTACCCTACTTTCAATGCAGATTACCTTCAGGAATGAGTGACTACTTGAAAAATGTGCTTTTCTGACTGACAGAAACTAACTTATTTTCAGTTTTTTCTCATTCATACCTTCCTAAAAGTTAGAACTATATGTATTTTCCAATTATATAAAGGAGAGGGATGTAGAGATTGAAGATATTTTGGATAAATTATCCATAAATAAGTTTCTTGACTCACATTAAAAGTTATTTAAAAGATACACCTATTATTGTTAGAGATTGCAGATACAAGTACTTTGTACCAACTACAGTTAGATAAGATAACATTGATCTTTCTAGCATAGTTTTAGTAATTAAATTAGGAAAAATCATGATGAGATAATATGTAAAGTTAAAGCTTACATATGTATATTAAAATGTATTAGTATTACAGCGTTTATAGTATTTGTCATGAAATTCATTGAGTATCACTTAAAAGTTTGAGTAGTGTGTGTTTTCTAGTAGTTGTTAAGTAGTATGATATATCTCTGACATAGTAAGTAATGTATTATCTTTAAGATTTGGTAAATGGTATGCTGTCTGTATGAATTAGTAAATAGTGTGTTGTGCTAAAGGATTGGTAGGTAGTATATGTATGATTTGTAAATAGTGTATTGCTTCTATGAATTATTAAGTACTATATTGTTTGTTTGACTTGTAAGCAGTATGTTGTTTCTATGATTTAATGAGTGGTATATTGTCTGTATGACTTGTAAGTAGCATGTTGTTTATATGAATAGGTGAACAGTATTATGTTTATTTCTTTGTGTGTAATAAGTTGTCTTTGTAAGTTGGTGAGTAATGTTTTTTTGTTTTTATTTGATGTGAGCTAGTAGTATATTGTTATTTCTTTGAATTGAGAAGCACTATGTATGAGTTGTCACTGGAAACTAGTGAATAATGCTTTTTTCTATGATTTGTTAGCAGTTTCATTGAGTTAATATTAAGGAACATGAAAATGATATTTAATATTTAAATTGAAAATCTTGATCTACCTTTGAAATATACCATCTCTCTCTCTCTCTCATATATAGGTTTGTTGTGGAAGCTACAAATAACCTTCTGAATATTATCTGCATTTTATTAAAACAATGATCCAGCTCCTTTGCTGGCTCTGGATTTACCTCTTTCATCCAAAGTTATATTCATTCTGATTATTCACTAGTGTCCCAGTGCTGCAGTTTTCAATCAAACTTCTTCAAAGTATAGTGAGGTCAATCTTGAAAAGCTTTCTACTTTATGTAAATGTTAGCTTCCAAGACTAAGCTTAAGTACACCAAAAGCACAAAAGTCTTGTGGAGCTACAGTAAAGTACTTGACAGGTATGTGGTCAAATAGAATAGCTGTGAATCCAGCAAATTTTAAGTTTCGCTGAAGCTTGTGAACTTTCAACTTGTGAGCCAAAGTCAGTCAGTTGTAAATCATTGTTTTACTTCTTCAATATGGCAGCAGTGTCTTATTCTATGTGTGGAACTTGTTTTTTGTAATTTTGTTATGGTTTTTGCTACAGTTTGAAAGCCACTGAAACAGTTTGTTTTATTATTTCATGGTAGAATCATTTGTTTTTTATGTTGTATTTATTCACCTTTATTTGAATCTCACAATTCATTTGAACAACAATTTAGTCTTACAACTGCTCTCAGTTATGCAGTCTATTCATCTTGATATACATATTTGCACAATTTAGAGGCATTCATTATTCAAAATTAACTTTGGATAAATCCTCGGGCTTCTTCTAAATTCACTGCTTTGATTTATCTGTAATGATAGAGAGGGAAGATACTTGTACAAGAAAAAGCATAATTAAACTTTTTTTATCACTTCTAAACAGTAATGTACAGCAGCAGAACTAAAACTGAATATTGAAGTATCAGGATTTATCCCAGAAGTTAAATGGTAATCATGTAATTATCATGTGATCTGCACAACATATAACCATTAAATCTTTGGAATCTCCTTGAGATGCATTATATGTGTGGGCAAGGCAAATAATCTGTGTGAGGAGGTGTGGAAAGAAAACTAGCATATGATATAGATTTTACAGCACAAAATACCTTTAGTCCCTATGGCAAATTGCAGTAAAAGAGTTAATATCTTATTAATGTGCCATGGGATATGCTCAGCTTCATTGTAACAGTTTTTAGGCTAGAGAGCCCCCTTTTTTTTGTAAGCATAATCTTCACTTTATGGATGAGAGATTTGCTCTAGATTGGCTAAGAGTGTAATTTTAGAACACATTGCTCTCTTAAGTGCCCTGTTGTACAAGAAATTTCACTTGCATGTTGAACATTGAAGACTCTCCTCATTTAAATGTTGTGTCCTTTGTTTTTACATCATTTAACAATCTCACTCAAATATCCTGCCTGGGATAGGGCTGTGACATACTCTTCCATCTCCATACCTATCTATGGAACATTCTGCTGTCAAGTGATCAAGAAATCAAAACAAATATGTAAGTGCTAAACACATCACCCATGGCTCATATCTGTGTGAAATGTCACTTTATCAGCATATGCACATTGATAGAAAAACAGAGAGCAAAGTCTTGTTAAAGAGTGGTCTCAAAAGCACAACGTCTAAACTGGTTCTCAAAGCGAAGCCCAATTCTCGAGATAACTAAAACTAATGATTTGTTACTTGAATGAAAATAACTACGTCTAAATGTGCATATGGCCTTACGTTAAAGCTAGGCTTAGCAATAATTAATGAAAACATTACGAGTAAGATACTTAATTGTGTGGGGAGAAGTAGAAGTGAATATAGTCCTCATCTGTTTTATGCCAATAATTCTTTTTCCTGCTTCATAGTTACCATGAAATCCTTAGTATGAAAATCACACTGATAAAGAAAATTATCTTGTCTTTGTTTACTTAAGTCTCTCAGGTTTCAAGTGTTTTTAATAGGAGATGTTATGAATATGATATTTTATTATTATTATTGGACTGTCTTTTATTTGAGGCTTGCGCTCATGATTGATAATTTTAACTCCCCCAACATTTTTACAATGGCAAATGATCAAGTACAGCTTAGAAACCTTGATCTCTCAGACCTTGGTTATATAGATTTTTTTAAAGAAGAAACTTAGTAGTCATCTCAATTTACTTTTTTCCTCTTATGGATTTTTATAGTTTCACAGACTTTTTTTCTTTTACATCTTTGCAAAGGGAACAGTCTTGAACCATATCATCTGGATGCTGGTAAGCACACCACTTCTTGGATATATAGGCAATCTAATGTTCCTGTGCTCATTTTCTAAATTATTTACACACTTAAAATGCTCTTTGTTACAGTATCACTGTCTTATCATACATCAGTTGCCAAGTTGACACTCATTCCAGGTATCTCCGTTTCTTCATTTCGGATCTTGATTTCAAGGACAGAGATTTCTATTACCATTTGTACATATGGTTTTCCAGGTGTCTAGAAACTGGTTGCAAATCCATATTCTTGTCCCTACCAGATTCTTTTCACAGAGCATTCTTTATTCTATCTTGTGTTTATGTTAATCATCACGTTATTAAGATCTTTTCATTTTTAGTCACATGCTTTTGCTATTTTCTCTGGCCCCCAAATCAACATGGTCTGATGGTATAAGCTTTCAGTCAAGTTTGGTTCAGTCTGTTTTATGCATTAATTATTTTTCATTTTCTTTCCAGATTTTCTTAGTTTGCTGTGTTCTGTGCTATTACACAGTAACTCTATTGTACTCCTTTATGGCCAGCAGACTCACGATTTTCTCCTTTTCTCTTCTGCTATCAAAGGGAACCAACAATGCTCCCATCCTAGTTTTTTTAACTTATACTTTTTTGAGTAGTGCATTTTCAAGGACATTTCTTTCTGTTTTATGCTTTTATCAGTCAGAGTGGGTGCTTTTTTTATGCTGGTATTTGATTGGTTTATTGCTTATTGTTTTTAATGTAAATACATTTTTTGAGCTGACATTTATGCTCTTAGTGAATTCTTGCTTTGTTTGTGTGGGATAATTTATATCTTTCTTTTAAGTCATGTTTTCATTAAATCAGTATTGCTTGTTAAAGAACTAGAATGTTTGTTTTGATTCTTCTTCCTTTCTATTGCGGTAGATCCTTCAATAAAACCCAAACAGTCTGTCTTACCTTAAATTCAGCTGTTAGAAGATTATTTAATTGGAACAGTGCCATTTTCTTTTCAGATGAACTACATCAGGTTATTCTTTGGAATATCTCATAACAAGATATCTTGTGTCTTTTTACTTTACAAAATTTTGTCAGAATTCTTAACTCTGATTATAATGGCTTACTTATGAATTTGATATGTAAGTTCATATTTCTGTCTTGTGTTGTGACTCCTGTAGTGGCTACTTGATTTCTGTTGGAAGATGTTATCTGGGTGGATTTGTGGACAACTTATCCACCTATGTTCACATGTTAGTGCTCTTGGGGATTGTTGCGTATGGAAGATGTGTCACCCTCTTATTGGTGGAGGACTATAGTCTAATGATGATTACATCATAGGATGATGCAGTACGCATTGACATGTGTAGGAATGGGATCTTTGTTCAAGACTTGTGGCACGTGTAGGAATTTAAACAGCAGTGCACACAAGGTAGTAGCTCTTTGTGGTGCAGAGGTATCTATCTGAAATACATTTTCAGATAAGAAAAATGTTCACTTTGGCATACAGTATAAAAGAACAGGGTGTCATGCAGAATCCTATGTTTGTTAAAATGTCAGTGTTATGAAACTTTTGTTCTATTTATTACATCTATTACAGATGACTGTAAACAAAAGCATATAAAGATTAGATGTTATAATCTAACACTTAACAAATTAATAAATGAAAAGTGAAGTAGAACAATTGATAGATTTTCTTTTTTTAAAGAAAATATTTAGTATGAGAAAGCATATGTGCATTAAAAACTACTTTGTTTTTACTATACATTGGGAATCTATGTTTCTACAGAAATTCTAACTATCCATTAAAAATATGCTTGAAGTAATACATTGTATGTATGCTGTAGTATGTGTTCCAACATAAATAAACATAATATTTCTGATATGCTGAAATTCCTCTTTATTGTTTTTACAATCCATAGTAGAGATTCTTCTTTTATCCTGTTTTTAGATTTTCAAATTTTTATCCACTGGAAGATACCTGTTTTGTATTATTGTATCCTATCAAGTATTTATGCCTATTCTTTCCCATTAGTGGATTGTCTGGTTCTTAAAACATCTTGTCCTGTGAACTTTATTTTATGTAATTCAATGTGTTTACAGTAGATCTACTTGGAAATATCTTCATTACCATTCTTTATTTCTTGACTAATGTGATAGCAGTTTCAATTTGCATTTTTGACTTGCTTGCTTTTTGTGATAAGGCCATCACACTTTTTATCTTGTAGAGTTTTGTGCATATCTCACAAAGTCTATGTTGATTTCTTTTGCTTCAAAAAATTCTGTTCTTATCATAGGGTAGTTTTTTATTGGATATTGTGCACATAGCATTATCTCATTGAAAATCTTCAATGTTGTTTGATTCCAAACTGTTTCTTATTGATGGGGATTTCTTACTTGTAATGAGTATTGCATGGAGTTTCTCATTACTCTATTCCATTTGACATATCGACTTAACCCTGTCTATTAAAGATTCATTTCTGTATATGAAATTTTAATCTTCAGAAAAAAACTAAAAACTTTTGTTTCTCACATGGAGGAGTTTCTAATGATATGGTTTTTACAGCTTCCAAAAGTTTGTATTTTCCTATTTCACTTGTGGCCTTAACTTGAAGCCGCATTTTAGTAAAGAGAATTCTCGGGAACTATACAATAATTTGAGAAAGAGCATTATGAAGTCATAACACAGGAGACAGTAGGAATGTTTGGCAAGCTGTTGAGACAATAACTCAATGATTCTGTGTGTAGTTGAACAATAGCTTATAGTTCTGTATATCAATAGCTAACAATGTCATCAAGTATTGACACACTTTAATGACCATGTTTGTGACCATAATGCATTGATTCAATGCATAACCAAAATTTGGCTTATTTGGTTGCATGTTGGATTATTGGTTGTTCAGTGACATATAATTGTTTTCATTGATATGAAAATTTGTTTTAATTCCATTTTAATTCAAAAACTGTAAATTTGAAAGAGTTATTGAAGGCAAAAAATAATTGTGACGTATTTTTAGATGAATTATTTGATTGATTAAAGCTGCAATTTTTGATGTTTTAGAATTTATAACCTATTTGAAGAAACAATTTTTAAACAATAACCAAGTACAGTTGTTTGAATACTTCTGTCTTTCATCGTGTATTTAATTTTAGACTTATGGATTATAAGTATGAAAAAAAGTAATTATATCATGATTGGTTCTCTGATGTTAGAACCTTTACTTGTTCACACATTTTTTTTTTATACAGAAATCTGCCTTACATCCAATGTAACATCTAAAACAGTATCATCATACAGTGATCATCATTTCAACTTATGGTATTCAGCTGGTCATCCTTGTATACTGTGTGTAAGTATCTATCTTCTTTGTATTATCCAAAGCAGCAGCATCTTATACAGATTATCACATTAACCCTATCGCCCCTATCCTTTACTGTGCATGACACAAGGTTTTAGTGTCTTTCATTCAAAATTTTGTTATACTAATTTTTGTTTATGTTATACCAATTAGAATTGTATAAAATCTTATAAAAGGGTAAAAACCCTTTCGAAAGTGCTTGGATTATAGGGCTTTTATCATTTTGTATCAAGACTTCTTGAACCTCCATGTTTTTCTTACATCATGAATACCTTTCCTATAATTGAGACTTGTGCACAAAACTGTATTGAGATTGATTACATTTTCTTTTTTCTAAGTGTTTCTATTAGGTATCTGATTACAGCTCAGTTTTTCTTTACAGACAGATGATAAAGGTGTATTCCAGACTTCATTATCAAATGAGTATCTCAAGGCAGCTGAGCATTACCACCTGAACCAGGAGCAACTATGGAATCTTTCATATTCTTCTATTGATCACTGTTTTGCTGATTCAGAAGTGAAATCAGTGCTCAAAGAAAAATGGAAACAATTAAAAAATGAATTATTACCTGCCTGTCCTGAAATGGTTAATTAAGAAACTTGATATTTTATTGAATCTTTTTTATGTGTAGAAATACTTTTTTTTAGTATTAATGTTTTAGGATAGAATCACACGTTTGTTTCAGATGAATTCATAGTCTCTATGAAATAACAACAATATGGTAATGTAAATAAAACGTGGTTTGTTGTTTTTCATCGAGTCTTTCAATTTTTTTCCATTTTTTGAAGTAAAAAATAATTAAAAAATAGTAAAAATAAAGGAATTGTTTGTCATTGGAATAATTGTTATGGACAGTGTTGTTTAAAATAGTGAATTTGCTAATTGATCAGAAAGATTCTTAGTGTTAATTGATTTATTTTTTCCTTGGGTTTTTTAGATTGATCTTGAAAGTGTTTGTTTAACAGCATGGTTATTCATTCTAAAATGTAGAGTTTATTATAAACTTAATTACTTCAGTACTTACACAGGCTTACGATGGTTTTGTTTTATTGAAATTTTTACATGTTCTACAGTAATTCCACAACTATCCATTTTTTTCCATCATGTACAGATTTTTCACAAAATGTCATTTGTACCTTTACAAAAGTGAATAATTTTCATTAAAATCAGGTCACATTTTGTTATGCTTAAAATGTTGACAATCACTAGCTATAGATTTCTCTACACCAATCGCAACATGAGAGCCTTATCCATCATTCTAGAACCCATGAGAAGCACACCACTAGTATATAAACGGTTAACAGGCCACATGATATGTCATTTCTGGATAGTATTTGTTTGTGCATGCAATTTGACATTATCTTTTTTCATTTGAGTATTACTTATTCATTGCTATGGCAACAAGAGGTTGTGTAAATGACCCAAACATATTCTGTTATATTTGTGGTAAATTTGTTGTAAATTTGATCTAAGTATGAGTTTTTTCTTCCCGATTTGTAAAAAATCCTTACATGATAGAAAAAAATTACTATTACTTTCAAAATCTGCATAGCTGAAAAGTTTAAATTTGCAGGCCTGTGTTAATGATATAAGTAAAGTAATTTCATATACACAGTATACATGTAAGCTGGTTTGAGTTTAGATTAGCGTCATTTTATGTATCGACATATGTTGTGTTATTACAAATCATGTTTTGTAAGATGTTAGATTTGTTTACCTCCTTTCAAGAAAATGTAGAAGGTATGTCTTGTTAAGTTTTTATAGGAAACTAATAGTGATATTCTTAAATTACCATGTTGGACATGTGCATGAGAACTGGTGGTGAAATTACACTGTAAAAACTGTTTTAAATTTCTGGAATTAATTGTTTATCCATTCAACTAAAAATTTTAGTATTATGTCAGTTTGTTTTATTTTCACATGTTCTAAATGCAAGCATTTTATTAAAATATTGATTTTGATATGGTGTTCAGTGATGACTCTGAAGAAGTGTTGCCTTTAAGAATGTGTATAGAACACATTTTCAAAATATAAGTCTGAATTCTTGTGGTTTTTAATTTAAATATTGTTTTTAATTATAAAAAATAACAATATTAGATGATTAATTTTGTTAATCTTTAGTAACTATTTACTGTTTACTAGTGACCTTCATGTGCACAAAATTGTTATCAGCTTATGTTAAAGTACTAACAAAGTTTTACAATAGATGTCTTTAAATATAAGTTTAAATTGATGAGTAAAAATTCAGTTTGAATGTAGGTTATGAAAAAGTTTTAGTGACATTTGACTAAAAGAAGTGAGCTCAACATGCAGTGTAAACAGATTGGAATTTTTTTTTTATTTTAAGAAATCCAATGAAACAGCTGTACTAGACATTATACAAGAAATGTCAGAAAGAACAAGTAATTACACGATAAGCCTTGTACTGAAGTGTCTCCTATTTTAAAGTCAGTTATATTAATTGATACTTTTAGTTCTTTGTAGAAACGGTTCTTTCATCTTTTAATGTTTATAGTCATGTTTAGAAAAATCAACTGTACAGCCATATAATAATATAGGAAAACCATTAGTAAACTGGATAAAAATACAGGTCTGCAATTTGTTGGTAGATTTCAAATTGAGTTTTGTCCACATGATCCCACCATTTACAAAAAAACATAACTTAGAACTGGGTTCAGTGACAAAAGAATTTTGTGGAAACTTTGCAGCTTCTACTAAGTTATTATTTCTTAGAATTTTCTTTTTAAAAGTAACTACTTAAATTTTAACATTACTAATGTGGCAGACTTATTAGTAAAAATTAGTAGTATCATTTCAGAAAAGGCTTGGGGGGCAAAGAAGACTGGGGCTCTAATCTATTGTGGAATTTGCATAAATATGTTCATCCAGTTTGGCAAGAAAGTTTTCTCAGAATTTACCATTTGCACCTCCTTTTGAACTTAAGGGTATGACTGCCCCTATTATAATCCTATTATGGGTTCAGTATGAGCTTTCTGCTTACAATCTTGTGGTCACATTGGACAGTTTCACCAAACATAAGGTTTTTCATTTTGAAGAAGGAAGGAATATTTAGAATTACAAAAATATTTTGAATATTAAAGCTTTTAACAACCATCACATAACCAACAGAATCACAGAGACGTAATATATCACTTCTTTCCATGATCTAGTAATCCCTACACAATATTAGTTTAGAAAATGAGTATATCCTTACCTTTAATACTTAAGCTGTTGTAATTGTTTTTGTAATAATCTACTTGTGAAAATTCATCCAATAGAACTAGCATTCCTCTGGCCACTTTATTACTGTGATAAGCCATTAAGAAAGAGTAGGACATACTGACATTGTCTTGTTGGTTGTTGAGGATTTCCAGTATGGCACACAAGGCCTACCCAACTGCACCACCTGATCTCCTCAAGTTGTTGCTGAGGGATCAGTTTGTAGATGCCTTGGACAGTCCACAACTGAAAATACAAGTAAAGCAAGCACACCCCTCTACTATGCAGGATGCAATGGCCAGAGCTCTTTAATTTGAATCCTACGTTAAGTCCAGCACAGAGGTACCAAGGTTGGTACAGTCATCAGGATTCAAGGCCAGAAAAGGGCAGCTTTCAGAGAAGTTTGAGGGACTGTTATAAACCTGGGCACAAGAGAGCTCAATGCTGGTAACTTCAACACAGGAGAGATGCCACAGCAGGAAAGGCTGCTACCCAGAAAGGTTGTTGGAACTTTGGAGAGCAAGGATATATGAGGAGCCAGTGTAAGAAGAATACCACCAATAAGTCAGCCTTAAGGAAACCAGTAGTGGTTCATGTTGATGAACGCCTACCAACGCCAGTTGTGAAAATCCCAACATCTAAGTGTAAAATGGCAAGCACACATAGTGTCTACGTGATAGGAAAGCTGGATGGCCAAAGGTGCTAACTTTGCATAGATTCTGCATCTCAGCAAACCATTGTGAGTATCAAGGTGCTAGATCACAAAGGA